ATAGACTAAGAAACAACACATATACACTTCACACCGTAAAACACCAAAAACAAGTGCGTTGTAAGGTTTTTACAGTGCGGTATAGTTTATCGTGGAACAGGTTGCCATTGCCCATCCGTAACTTTGACACATTTACCAGATTCAAAAGGCTAATAACCCTGTTTCTAGACTCTAAAGAGCTTCAACCTTTCCTTGAACTCCCTCCCACCAATGAAGCACTTTATTACGGACCGCCTAATTTCTAAACTGAACAAGAATATAACGAGCCCGACTATTACTAATATGAATACAACTAAATTACAGGACATACGGTTTGCCGTTTCCTATTATTCATTGTGCATTAATCCAGGCCTAATGCTCCTAACCCTCACTTTCAGTTCCCAAATCCCTCTACTGGTTAAATATACATTTTTCTTCCTAAGTGTCATGTCTTCTTTTTCTATTGCAAGTAGACAGATAACTCACTAATCTTATGGATGCTGATCTACTAAGGCCGATCATACAAAGCTCAAAATTGATCATATAATCTTGTGAGTTGCTCTGTGTTTCATTTTTCTTACCCTAAAATTTTACGATTTTATACTCTTTCATATCATTTGATTTGCTATTAGTTCTCACTATCTTTAAACCACATATAATCTAACCTGTTTTTTTTCTATCTTTCACCATTAGTTATCTTCATAGCAGTGTGATATACTAAATGGACATCTAACCCATAATACAAACGCTTTAACTATCAGATTTGCTTGTAACATGGAACTAGTAGAGACAGTGTATTCCAACCATGTGCTTTGATTAAAGCAGTATGCATACTTACCACAAACGTAAGAGAGCCTAACATCACAAAAGGAGGGAGGGTGGCGTTACTGACCAGCAAACATGATGGCGGGGAGATAACTTCAATTCACCCATGTCTGTAGGGCAGAACATTTTGTTAAATTACGTTTCCTTATGGTTCAGTGGAATGTCACGAACTAGTGGTATTGATGCTGATTTATTATGCAAAATATCTCATTAAATCGTGTTAAAAACGTTGAATTGGTTTCACATTATATTCAAAAATAATAATATACAGGACGCAGGCAACCAATATAACTGTAGAGCCAGTGAAACATAGAATAACAATAAATTACTAGGACGTTGGTTGAATATAAAGCAACTAACCATAGAAATAATAGAAAACAGAATGTTTTGTTGTTCCATCATATTGCGTTGAAATAGACAGCTTTGGCGAGTGATTGAGGTCCTCAGATGAGAAACATTAAGTTTGCCGCAAGAGTAATGATGCTACAACGATAGTACAATCGATAAGTGTCGATGTTTGTACCACTATTGGTTTCAAGTATGACGTCAAATAGTGTAATTGACAGCTTTCGTTTGGAAGTGTCGAATTCTGGTTAAAAGTCAAAGACTACAGATCTAGAGCGAAGGTGGTCTGATGAGGTGGTTAAACGATGATAAACGGTGGGTGCTGCATGTTTGTTCGATAAGTGATCCGAAAAATATCGTAAAGAGCATAACTAACCAAGGGTGTCACTCTGGACTCATGTCAATGATATCAATGAAAAACTCTGTCATTGTTGGGATAGGGGCAACAACGTCATTTTCAGCTTGCAGGAGATTCTCTCGACTGCGTAAAATGATGATTCGCGCGGATGATAGTGTCGTCAGATCACCAATTGAACTGGGCAGGTTTTAAATCATCGAATAGTTGAACACCCGATTGATGTACAGAAATCATCATTTAGATAACAACCACGAGGAAACAATACTTTCTAAAATAAAGTACGACACCGAAGTTAAATAGCCATAATAGTTCGGATGTGTTACGTCACATCAAAATAAAATCGTTCTTACGTATATTGACAGTTGCACTGAACGTTCGTTTGGGTATTATTAGTCTAACAGTTGGATGTGTTAATAAAAACATATATGAGGACTATAATGGTGTTTGTAGCAAATTTTGGAGGTCTTTTAGGTATTTTCCGAACCTGTATTGCATGTAAGTAAACCGAAAACGGAATTAAAATGACTTTCGTGTAATAAAGAAGTCCAGCCATGGTTCACCATGTGAGATAACAGCGATAACAGGGTGTATAGTAAACATTAATTAAAATGGTAACCGCTAATGTAACTAAGGTTTAGAAGGTTCAGATAACGTGACCATTTCGTAAAAGGTTGATGCAAAAAGATTATTATCTAGCGTCAAGTGGCCTATTACGTACGACGAAGTGTCCAGTTAGGACATGGTCTAAGATTGCTCATGTACACGCAATATATTTTTCCACAGTATGTTGGTTTACGAGTCATAAATGTACATGACTTCGACTACAACCTGACGGCGGTGACAGAATATATGACTACTCTACGTGAAAGCACAGTACGAAATTATTCAATGGAATTATGAAACTCGCCTGGGTTACTCTCGCCTCCAAGTGATGAAAATTTGGAGAAGACAGTAGTCCAAATGTGGATGATATACGAGGTATTGCTGATTAAATTCTTGGATTAACACAGCTTTGTAGACTGAGTTTGTGTAAGTCCAGAATTAATTCAAGCCAACATACGTAGCATTGCCTGACGAACAGTCTAAACGAAACCTAAGATTACAGGAAATTTTTAGTTCAAAGTCACCATAAGTTTCTAGCATTTGTACCCTCAGTTTGACCATGGAACTCAGCAGTTGGAAATTAGGCAGACAGTGGTCAAGTAAGTAAAACATTCTGGTAGATAGTTGATAGTGATTAAGCAGAAAGATGATTTTATAACCGACGGTGAATCTTGTCTCGCTTATACAAGTGGATAAGTTACAAACAGATGGGCGTTCATGTTGCTTTGTGGTCATACTTACGAGTGGTTGATATTTTAAGACACATTACACAGTAGCATCTACAAGCTGCTGATGTTCGTTAAAGAACCACGGTAGTCGACTATAATCGTAGTTGACTGGTTAGTTCTATCGATTGGACTAATCATGTAGGTTTAAATATTAATCCACATTGATATGAATCGATAAATGTTCACAGTAGTTGATTAACATAGGTGACGATAAAATGAAAAAGAATGAGTATGGAATGCAATAATAAAGATTAGATCATCCACATTGATGGTCTCTGTCTAATGATTGGGGATCCACTCCAGTTAGACGGGAATAATGTGACCAACAGCTAACGTCGAAGTCACACCTCTCAGTCAACACCTAACGTGGATCTGTAAAATTATGGTCTACTATGATATTAGCACCGCTCTAATAATAGACCGTATCCTAAAATTGTAGATTTATCATGATGTAACTGCCTAATCTATAAGATCTTACGTGGAAGTTACATCATCGTCTACACCGATTCATTGCATTGTAACAATTACCAATACGTGATAGAGAACGAGCTTAGGCTAGAGATAGAATATATTTTATTTGAATAGAAGACACAAGATAACATTCAGATGAAACCACGCCTGCAAGGCCGAGCCATGCCATCCGATCAACTCGGACTAATTCAATTTATTCTCCCCGCCCTCTCCATTCTTCTGTATTCCTCCGCGTTAAATGTTTAATGTATATTTCTCATATTGTCTCGTGGTAGGGCCCAACGCCACTACAGATCAACCTTTCGTCGTATCAAGGTAGTATGGATGCTTTGAGGACTGTACAACACGAAGGACCTTATTACAGAAATATATTAGTGAGAATAAGTACAAGCGAAAGTGTGACCATCACCGTGTAGTGACCTACTTTTGTTAACAGAACGCGATTGATTCAATGAAAACAATTATTATTATAACCAATTGTACCAGTGATCGTTTTGCTGTGCTCGTTTTTTTAACTGTGCTAATGACAGCCATTACACTCACTCTCCCGTTGACTTTGAACTTGTACGAATTCGGTTACGCTTAGTAACCACGCTTGTTTTCCTTTGGCACGATCTCGGTATTCTTTTGATACCACGAGATCGCCAACAAATACATTGGTTAATTGGCACGTAGTCTTCTTGTAGTGGTGTTCATAGTCAATAGCGACTCGACTCCACGCTACAACCGCATGGGCCAGTTCATGGCGTACGATTAACTGATGCGCGTTGGTTGTCCTTGACCTTGGCAGGGATCGATGATCTGTCCGATTTTCAGTGACTCAAATGCTTGATGAATTGGGCTAGGGCTAAGCGACATTTCACTGACCCTACAGTACTATAACCTAGGTTGAACAACTCACAAGCATATGCAAATAGAAATACACTGAGCTAGTTGGGTGTCTGTTTTAATGTGAAGTGATTGAATGAATTAAAATGTAGTTATTTTGAAAAGGCTTTTATCTTCTAGCAACATAGTTTTTTACGTGTGGGAAGTTACAAACTAATTTTCAGAGAACTATTGAACTTCTCAATTAATAAGGATTTGTAAAAAATCAACGAATAGAATCCACTGATCTGAAACATGATCACATTAAATTTATTCCACCTGTCATGCTAAAATTGGAACGGGTTTATTACAGCATCTGGTTTCCATTTACCCTAGTGACGTCATAGATATTCAGGGCTTGACAACGCCGTTATCATTAACACCTGTATAATTAAAGGATCCAAAACGTAATTAAACCAGAAGTTGTGGATTCAAGAGTTAAGAGATATATCTAAAAGGTAGTCAGTATGTCAAGAGGTGTTTGGTCCAACCTGGCTATTCGTTGCCAGGGTTGAGTGGCATGACGTACTGTATGATAATCCAAATAGGATTAATAATCAAACGCCCTAAGTAGGAGTGCGTCTAGTAAAATTATTGAGGCCAAGACTAATGTCGAAGGCTTACAGAATTAGTTATATTTAGGATTTATTTACCGCTACTATCTTAGAGTTCTTTTAGGTATCGCCGATTTGTTGTTGATGTACATGAAAAGCCCATTTAGTTAAAGCTCTTATTCCGTTCATAGTCATTTGAAATCATTCTGTCTAATTGATTTTGATGATATGTTACACTTATTTGTTATATTGGTAGTTTTAAACGGTAGACGATGCTTCCTCAAGGCCAACCAGCCGGGTCGATAATTCTGTCCGGCGTGTTATGATCCAGACTCCAAAGCAGTCACCTGTGTACTGTCCTGGGCATACACGTCCGGTCGTTGATATCTGTTATAGTGGAGAGACAGATTGCGGACACCTTTTCATCACTGCTTCAAAAGGTACGTATATTAAACGGGATTGAATGGTCTTCATGCAAATCCTTATTTAACTGTGTTCAAATAATCTCGATAGGGATAAATGTTAATGGTTCACAATCTGATGCCGTTAGTCAGAAGATCTGATAATTGGAATTTACTAGTGTCCAGTCCATTGGTCAGTTCCAGACGAGAATCCAATAACCGGTAGTGGGACCCAATCTCACTATCTTAGAGAAAATTTTGTACCATGTTCCCAAAGTTTTCCGTAGCGGTTTCCCTAAGGTAGGGAGATTAAGGATCCTGCGAATGTCCACCTACTTACTAGGTTCAAAAGAAGGTCATAAATTAGTACATAGAGTTAGGATTAGAATATAGCTTTGGAAGTTAGAATTAGGAATTAGATCTAGGGTTTCCATCACAAAATGACATCAGTCATGATGCTTAGATGCTATTTAGACTTAGCGATGAATAAGTTTAAGCCGAAATCCTGGACTAACCAATTTCGTTGGTTCTTTCATAGATTAATCTTGCTGCTGAGCCATCTACCAATAACTCCGTGAAGTGGTGTGTGGTTAAGACCTTTAGTCAGTTTCAATGGCTGTGTTTTTAAACCAATTTAGCAAACTTCTGATTCTTGGCGTAATAATCTATTTACATATTTCAACCTGTTTTTCTTTACATTACTCAAATGGTCTGAACGTGTTTAGATAAAATTTTATATTCACCATATTGCAAAACTAAGAAATATCGCTTATTAAGTGTTTCAATAGTAGTGCAAAACCATAAGGTGGCCTATTTTTAAGGACACATTTCCTATACTCACACATGACTACATACCTTGAACTCAGGATCTTCTAACATCTGATTTACAATTACTGCACCTTCATAGACGAATTTCAGTTTCATTAGATTCAGTTTTTGGGCTTGTTTATCAATCAGTCTGAATAACTTGGTGTTAGTTTGACCGGCCTCAAAATTTGACTTGGGAGAGTTCGGAGCTAGTCATAGTTTGGCCATGTTAGCCCTGTTCCATTGTGAGGAAGTAAAGTCACTGTAGGCACTGGTTGTCCGTGCTAGGTGGCTTATTACCACCACTTCACTATGGTTGTTATTAAGTCCTCACTAACCTCGACTTGATATTATATAATATGGTTGGAATGTTCATTTTCTACAGTTCCTATGGTTCTTTAGATTCTGTGTTTTGCGCTTCTGATTGGCCTTATATTTTTACTAGTCTTTATTTCGCAGTAAATAGAAACAACATATAACCACTTTCCACGCAAAAATCAATCATTAAACAACAAGGCAAAGAAATAAAACAATAGGGAACTAGCAATTGTAGAACTATTTCCAGATTAAAGGGGGACTACAATAACCTTTGCTCCACTTATATATTTTAGGCTATCTAAAGTCTCATCATCTAATATATTGTTAACAGAAAGGTATCAGTCTCCATTTAAGTTCAGATCATAAATTAAGGACTGGGATGTCACCATAATTTTCAAATGGTCGTATTCCATCATAAGTTCATAGAGAAAGTCAGAGCTGTAAACCATCGATTACTTCAGGGAACGAGTTCTGGGAAAGTTATTGTCAAGTGATCTTACTTTCATAGCGCAATTGTCATGTCCAATAAATGTTAGTCTAGATAGTTTTTATTTTGTGTTTAAATACCATCGGTGTCTATTTTATTTAGTTTTGCTTTCAGACCACAAATCACCACATAATTTCGTTTATTATTTTATTTCAGATGGTAAAGCAATTCTACGCCAAGGTGATACTGGAGATTGGATTGGAACATTTTTAGGTCATAAAGGAGCTGTCTGGTCATGTGTCTTAGATAAACATGCTACTAAGGCTGCTACAGGGGCAGCGGATTTCACTGCCAAAGTATGGGATGCAAACTCCGGTTCGGAGCTCCTTTCAATCACTCAAGATCATATTGTTCGGTGCGTTGACTTGAGCAAAACTGACTCAGGCGCAAAATTGCTCACTGCTAATAACTGGAAAAAGATTTCTGTCTATGATCTAAGCTCTCCTAAATCACGTAAATTATTTCACTTTTATGTTTGAGATTCTGTTCATCTGGTGTTGCATAAATTATTATGATCTCATTTACACCACTCACGTTTTTTATGTCTCATTTAGCCATATCTGTATTCGAGGGACATGAACAAATAATTCGTCGACTGCTATGGTGTGGTGAAGATAAACTTGCTCTATCCATATCGGAGGATAAAACTATTCGGTTAGTGCATCAATTTAGTTTTTGTTAAATATGTAGGTAGTATGTAACTGGTGAAGAATTTGCATCTTATTATGTTTCAGTTCTGTTCAAAAGCACGTCTTAGATTATTTATCTTTATTTATTTGAACACAAATATTGGTACGAGGGGTCATCAGATATATATGTGCCACACGTCCTAGATACAAGTAACGTAATGGACAATAAATGTTTGCATTTATTCTTCACTTATGCCCTTCATTTTATAGTAACCTTATTAGATTATGTAACGTAAAATCAAACAGAAAAGTTTGGGCTACCACATTATATAGCAAACCACAAAAGCTTATAAAATAAAATTTAGAGTAACCAATAGTCAACATCTTATGTTTAACTTTTATATGTACTTATCAATCTCGGCTAATCGGAGATTTACTGTAAAGGGATAGTTTGGTCGATATCGCCAGGGTAACAGACCAGCTGAACTATTCTTCGAAGAGCGTTGAAGTTTGGTCAGCTCGACAGGTTGTTCACTCACACCAAATTTCTTTCAGTGGCTCAAATGAATTGAAAGAGTTATCAGATGTAGCTGCTGCTTCCAACTCGTTAGCACGTTCCAACCATCAGGCTTTTCTGTCCTTACGTAAATTTTACACAAGTTTATTACGTAAGTCTATTTCGCGGTTAGCCAAAGTAGACCGATGTGTCTCAACGAGTTGTAAGGAGCGTATTTTAATTTAATGCTTATAAGCGTGGTATTTCACGAAGCTGCAAGCAATCCCCATGGCGTCATAAAAATTCAGAAACAAATAAGTAGTGTACTTATGTGCTTTCATTTGAGTTAATACACCGTAATTATCAGTCTACGAAGTTCGAATATCACCGGTCATGACAGAAATTTGATCTCTACTTAGTCATTTTCCGTATTCCTTGTGTGTTGATTTTATTATCACATTCTATGCAGAATATTAACGGTTTAACATTTTCGTGCATCTAGTTTGTGGGATCTCCGAGATATTCTGAAGCCAGCTGCAGTTCATCAGATATGGTCCAAGGAATTATCAGACCCAGTCAACGATATTCAATTCCATATCCCTTATAATGAAGATCAGGTGAAAGCTGTGGTAGCATGTGGAAACTCAATCCAGACTTATACGTTTGACTGGCGTTATAGCAACTTGGTAGAAGCACCTGAAGCTTTCCCAAAATTCAGTCTATCGTGTCCAGTAAATTCTGTCAGCTTGCATCCCACTGAAAAATTACTTGTATGTGGTGGAGATGATCATATAATATATCGATTAAATTCGGAAACTGGTGAAATATTAGGTAATATTCTGGGATGCTTTACTATATTAAATTATTTCTGGGTATTTTATGGTACAGCGTTGTGGTCTGATGAATTAAGTGAGTATTTATAACTTTAACTACCATAAACGATTAACAAATCTAGCTAAAAAATTTGTTTGATCCGTCTATGGCAGACAAGCGTATAAGTATATTTTCGATGTTTATCAAAACAGAATAATTAATTAGCGTATTAAAACGTTGACAACATAATAAGTATTGAGCATTTTAATAAGCCTATAAAATATAACTGTTACATTCAAAATAATAGGTTTCGCAAACTATTCGGGATTATGTGACCATCCATATCAGTCTGAAGTAAAATTTGGTTCGCTTGAAAAATTTCCAACTAAACGTAAGAAATACTTTTACATGAACTATTAAAACGCTTAATAAGCATAGGGCTTACATTAAAAGCCAATGCCGACTAATGTTGGGGATGGTTGGAAGAAAGTTAGGGACAGCCAAACCAAAACGTGGCATCAGTGCTTAAAGTCACTAACTTCTAGTCTTAACCATGTTGGAAGATCACTTGGTTGGGGTCCACATGACTATCGTAACATTGGAAACTGTGGGTGACGTGGTTTAGAATCGATCACAATGGTGTAGGTGTATACACTATTTGTTTTCCCTTAAACCGCGAGTTTGGAAAACAATCAACTCAAAGTGACTATAGAAAAACTTCACCTGTATAAAAGATACGTAGATAATATCTTTATCGTTTGTGACAACAAATATGACTTGAGCCATCTTCTGAAGACATTTAATAATTGCCACCCAACAATAAAATTCACATCAGAAGTTGAAAACAAACAAAATATTCACTTTCTTGACGTGGAAATGACAAGAATGGAAGATGGTACTCTAAAAAGATCTATCTACAGGGAACCCATGTGAAATGGCCAACTATCAAGTTTCCACAACTGGGTCCCCATTAGTCGAAAAAGGAACTTAATAACAACACTCGCAACAAAAATACGACGAATCTGTAGTCACGAAGTCATAGATAAAAAATCGGGTCACTTAAAGGAGATACTTATTAAAAATGGATATCCTTCGATATTCATTGATAAGAACATAAAGCCGAAAACACATAACTACAGTAGAAAAGAAAACTTTATACATGAACATCGAATTCAAGGGTGACAGAGCCACACACACCCTAAAGAGAAGAACTTCCGATTCTTTAAAAAGAACATTCCCCGCAGCAACATTGCGAATAGTATTCTCCAGCCGATCATTGTTCACCAATACTAAATTATCGCATCTGACCAACTCAATGTGCATTTGTCAATTTACCTGCTCATGTGAAACTAGGTATATAGGTCGTTCGATGCGTACTTTATCCAAAAGAATTTAAGGACATTATCCGGCATGTCTAAAAAGAGGAGGAAGCGGCACAATAAGAAGCTCAGTAATCAAACACCTTGTGAACACAGGTCACTCAATCAAGATAGACTGCGTTCAAAGTCATCTACAAGGTAAGTAGAAGTCTCCCAAAAAAATATCGTTACCTCTTAAGTAAAGGTGCCATGAAATAGAGACTTGTTGATTAATTAGATTTGATTCTGTATCCAAATGAGTCAAATTTTTGAGTTGTTGATTAATGACCTAGATGCAAATGATATCCATGTTTTACATTGATTACTAGACAAAAAATAGTTTTCAAGGTGTAGTATACATGGCTGTTATTTTTCCTTTAAAATTCAGAGTCATTTTCCAAGAAATATGGTGACATTATATAACAGTTTTGTGGTAAAATGATTTTTCATATCGTATCATAAGAAAAAGCATTTTATGGTTTGTGCAACTTTCTTCCTGTCAGTATATATTCGAGTGAAATAAATCTAAGTCATTCAGTGTTCTAAATCGTCTACTTTACAATCCAGCTTTGACGTTTATCTAGTATATCTTTTATTTCTTTATCCTAGAAACCTGCAAGGGACATTTTGGCCCTCTACATTGTGTTAGATTTTCTCCAGATGGACACGTTTTTGCAAGCGGTAGTGAAGATGGCACTGTTCGTTTGTGGCAAACTGTTGTTGGAAGTGACTTTGGATTATGGAGATTGACTGTACCGAATGAAGTTTCTGTTGTTAATTGCTCAAATTTATCTGTATCTGCAAAAGATCACTGTAGCGCGAATTTAGCCGAAGTACCGGCTACTGGTGATACTATTAATAGTTGATCCTTATACATATATTTCCATTATGAATCTCATCGGAAATATTATTGTGGTTTCTATATTTCATACCATTGTGTTAATGTTATGGAAAATTTCAACCATAAACTACTTCTGCTGAGAAATAATTAAGAGGACTTTGTACAGTACTGACTTCAGTCAATAACCTTGTCAACAGTTTATGAATAGACTATTTTTGATAAGTTATAAAATTTATTTACTCGTAGTTTGTTTTATTCACACTGCATATCATTAAAATCAATACTCAACGTTAGGGTGTGTAAATTCTGTTTCTCTTCAATTGTACTAGCTTCTCTACAATGCTCATATTGATGGAGTGTAAAACGATCATTGGTCTAGATAACCATGCAGTATCACGTGCATTCGTATAATATGGTTTGAAACTGGTCATGAATTTCATAGTTCGTTATTATTACAATAAAGATAATATAGGGGAGATAACTGCTTTATTTTAGTTAACTGCAATAGCTTTAAAAAGTCAGTGAACATGTAAGATTATCTCACTAGTTTACTTGCTGTATTTGATTAAATCACTGTCAGAGTTAAATTCCGAACTTGACTGGTTTCCATAAAAGTAAATTCAATTGGAAGTTGGGGAAAAGTCATTGTTTTCCACACGTTATCTTACGTCTACCTGGCCATAAGAACTAATCAGGATCTCGGACTAGTAATTCACGATAATATAGCATCTTTTATTTGTGAAATCGTATTGAAATGAACCCACGCGTATTGTATATTACCAACAAGGAGCACTCCAACTTGTAGGTAGACATTGATCTGTCAGGTCTCCACAGTCATTTCTTAACCAAAAATGGTCTGTATGTTTTAAAAAAAACTAGTAATAACGGTGTTAAAATGCAGTATCGAAATTTTATGCACAAAGCTTATTAAAAAAAGCAGCTGAATACTGCAGTGCATCTACCATACTGTGAACATAATATACTTACCTAATGGGGCGGTTTTTGAAAGAACAGCCACTCAAGTAGTTACGTAGTCTACAAATTTCTAGAGCAATGTGCAAATTAGTATTCATATCTTTCTGATTGAGTCAAACTTACTTAAGATACCTGCAAAATGTGCTCATTCTTGGGGTGGAAAATCATGTGTAAATTCTACACAACAGTAACTAATCGTCTGATACTTTGAGAACTTAAGCTGAACACAGGAGTAGACAAGCAGGTGAGGAGAAGCATCAGAACCGACAAAGATTAGCGATGACGGCGGAAAAGGCTGCAAGAGAAGGAAACATGAGACAATTGTATGATACAACAAAGAAGCTCGCTGGAAGTCATCGTAAACCAGAACGGCCAGTAAAAAGCAAGGAGCTCAAAGTAATGAGCAACATTGAAGAACAGAGAAACAGGCGGGTAGAACGCTTTAAAGAACTCTTGAATTGACCAGCTTCACTGAACCCACCCAACATTGAAGCAGCACCCACGGACCTCCCAATCGATATTGACCCACCAACAATTGAAGAGACTAGTATGGCCATCAGACAAATCAAGAGCGGCAAAGCAGCGGGACCAGACAACATTCCAGCAGAGGCACTGAATGCAGGCGTAGCGGTAAGTGCAAGGATACTCCACATTCGCTTCAACAGGATTTGGGATGAAGAATAAGTACCAACAGACTGGAAAGAAGGACACCTGATCATGATACTAAAGAAAGGCGATCTGAGCAAGTGTGATAACTACAGAGGCATCACTCTTCTCTCAACATCAGGAAAAGTCTTCAACATGGTACTGTTAAACAATGAAGGACTCCGTAGACGCAAAACTTCGCGACCAACAGGCAGGATTCCGTAAGGATAGATCGTGCACAGACCAAATCGCAACTCTACGGATCATTGTGGAACAATCAATTGAATGGAATTCATCACTCTATATCAACTTCATTGACTACGAAAAAGCATTTGATATCGTGGACAGAACAACCCTATGGAAGCTTCTTCGACACTACAGCGTACGTGAGAAGATAGTCAATATTATACGGAATTCCTATGGTGGATTAAACTGAAAAATCGTCCATGGAGGACAGTTGACGGACTCGTTCGAGGTAAGGACTGGTGTCAGGCAAGGTTGCTTACTCTCACTTTTCCTCTTTCTCCCAGTGATCGACTGGATCATGAAGTCGTCAACATCCGAGGGGAAGCATGGGTTACAGTGGACAGCTAGGATGCAGTTGGATGATCTGGCTCTTCTATCGCAAACGCAACAACAAATGCAGGAGAAGACGACCAGTGTAGCAGCAGCAGTAGGTCTCAGCATACACAAATGGAAAAGTAAGATTCTCCGATACTACAACACAGCATGCACCAATCCAATCACAATTGACGGAGAATATTTGGAAGATGTAAAAACCTTCACATATTTGGACAGCATCATCGATGAACACAGTGGATCTGATGCAGATGTGAAGGCGCGGATCGGCAAAGTAAGAACAGCATATTTACGACTGAAGATCATTTGGAACTCAAAACAATTGTCAACCAACACCAAGGTCAGAATCTTCAATACAAATGTCAAAACAGTTCCACTGTGTGGGGCAGAAACTTGGGGAACTACGTAAGCCATCATCTAGAAGATACAAGTGTTTATTAACAACTGTCGGCCAGACACTATCAGCAACAATTTACTATGGGAGAGAACAAACCAAATCCCGGTTGGGGTAGAAGTGCTGAAAGTGGATAAGACACACATTGAGGAAAGCACTCAACTGCGTCACAAAGCAAGCCCTCACATGGGATCCTCGAGGCCAACTGATGAGAGGAAGACTCGAGAACATATTACGCCGAGAAATGGAGACACAAAAGGAAGGAACAAAAATTGCATAGAACTAGGGAGGAAGGTCCAGGACGGAGTGGGTTGGAGAGTGCTACTTGGCGGCCCATGCTCCATTGGGAGTAACAGGCGTAAGTAAGTAATTTATGAACTTTCTTTGTTCACCCGGGTCTTGATTTATTTGTAATTTCGATCATATATACCCAAGACATTTTCATCAATATGAATGCGAAGTTGTGTTAACTAAGCAGCTTATTTCCTAGACACTTAAATAATGAACTCAATATGAATTAAGGTGAATAACGAATAGATAAATTACGTTGGGTATTTCATCTGACTGCAAACCCAGTATTCCTAAAGATTCTCCCACACAATCTGGTGTTACGTTGAATGTCGTTGGAAATATCTAGTACTTATTAAAAACAAATGAACCGTCTAACCACAATACTGGAAGATGAATTAAATTAAAGTTGATTAACGTTGTAGTTGGTACACAGCTATTAGCTCCATTCTAACCTATATCAATTAGATCGCTCTGAGAGCAATTCATAAGGATTGTAACCTGAAAATTGAGTTGCACATGTAAGCTAATAAACTTTTAATACTGTACTTTCACAGAAAAGTTACGAAGAACTCACAAGTTTTGAATCATTATGGAATCGAGGGACGTTCTTCTATCGAAAGGGAAATTATTCCTTCAGATAAGTCTATATGCATGGAATTATAGAACGTAAATATAAACTAGAAAACTACACTTACAGTCAGAAATGAATACCAGTAGTTAACGGAATCCAATGGATACCCAACACTGGAGAGTAAACAATTCATTGAAGGTAGAAAAAAGGCCTAAACTGTAGCGTTCTCAGAAGGAGAAAATAAAATTCTAGCCTAAAGCATGATTCAAATAAATCAATGCTACAAGTCCTCATAATATCTGTTGATATTCGTCACAATCGTTACTTCAATGAAGTACTTGTATACAATTGTAGCTACTTATAATTATTAAGTAGCATAGCGGGATTAGAGTTAAAATCATGTAGATTTTAATGGATAAATTTGTCCTCTCTGTCCATATATTCGCAGCTCATTCAGCTACATAAAAAGAGGAAAATTCTCTGACTCCCCCCCACTGAATAGGAGCTAAATTAATGTTAATCCATAACCTATGGTCAGCCTCATCACACGTTTATGGGTACCGATATCAAGAGGCATAGGACTTCCAACCATACTACACATTATTTCATCACCCTGAATGAGGTTCACAAAGCGTCAAAACTGAAGCTAGAGAATCACTGGACACCTGAGCAAGCACCATTACATAAGTTTGTTACAGACTTCTTTCGAGATGCTCCCAGGCTCAGACAGTTCAGCATAGCTCTCAGTATCAAGTCACAAGACTTAGAAAGTCTACTAGATGATGAAACCACCATAGATTGCATACAGACCAAATTGAGACACTACGGGTCATTATTGAACAACTAGTTGAATGGGACTCATCGTTTCACGTCAGTTTCCTTGACTATACGAAACCTCTCTACAGAACGGATAAGATCTTCCTTAGCAACATGAAGTATGTGGGAAGATCTTCACCATCATACAGAACTCCTACGTTGGACTGAACTGCAACATCGTGCATAAAGGATAGCCCACAGGTGCATTCCAAGTGAGGGCTGGCATCAGACAAGGTTACCTATCCTCCCTTTGATGGTCGTCCATTGAATTATGAAAATCTCAAGAGCTTATGAGACGTGAGAAAAACAGTAGACACTCTAGACACAGCTGGATGCCTTGGACTTTGCATATAACATGGTCCCGTTATCTCATATATAGTAAAAAATACAGGTGAACACTGTCAGTGTAGCAGCGGCCTCTACAGAAGTCAGTCTCAACGTTCACGAGGGAATCAAATCACACTCGATGGCCATGCTCTGAACGAGGTGGGAGCTTACACGTACCGAGACACCATTCCTACAACTAAAGAACTTATGAAGCTCAAAACAACTGTCACCCAAGATTATAGTCGGAATTTATAACACTAACGTCAAGAAAGTTCTATTTTAGGGAGCTGAAACTTAAAGAACTACCACCACTATCATCAAAATAGTACAGATATTTATAAGCAGACACTGGCGATGTATTGTGACATGCTTTGTTCAAACCACTACACCGTATCACAGGGAAAGTTCTAACTTTGAATGCCCCAGGCTAAAGGAAATGTGACAGACTAAAGAATATATGGCTCTTGGAATTCGAGGGCAGACATCAACATCACGAACACCTGTTGGAAATAACTGGAAAGGAAAACCCAGGACAAAGTTGATTGGAGATCCCTGGTCGGTGGTTTATGCTATATGAAGGAGTAGTAGGCTTCAATATTGAAGCAATTTACGCGAATAATTCACTTCACGTTGTCTTTCGCTGAAC